ACTCAGGAATTGTCAGTGGCAGCAAACACGTTTTCGTGTTAAGCTCCTTCCTGTGACAAAGGTATTGTGATTTGGGAGGAAGGGGATTAATACTTCAATAAGAAACTAATTTTAAATAGCTCCTGTTCCCCCCTGCCCACAGGTGGCTAAATAATAATAATAATAATGCTTTTTATGTATATATAAAAAGATATATCAAAAAGAACCGGGAAACCCTATGATGGATTTGAAATCCTTCTGTAGTTAACCCTACCTTCCATTTTCCCTTTGCACTTGATGGGACAAGCAATAATGAAATGTGTGGGCTTGAATTTTCACAAAAGTTAAAATTAGGTGCCCAAATGCCATCAATTCTGGTCTAGCTGCAACCTTGGTTAGTGTGTCATGATATGTGGCACATGTGTTTGTCAGATAGACGCTGTGTGTCTTCTGTCCTTTTGGAAGAATTAACAGGACCTTTAGATTCTTAAGATCCCCAGCATATCTTGGCTTGTAAATCAACCCTGGCAATATCCATGGTAAAATTTTACTGCCTTGAATAATGTTTGCCTGAATAAGAGTTTGCCCTGTCTGAGGGAAGCACCATTTTTCTTGATGAGAAACTTTTAAGCCCCACTTTACCCGAGTCTGTTTTCTGACTTATGGTGGGAGTAAGGTGCCATTTAATTTACCAGATGTGCTGTTTCTCTGGATCACTGGCCAGCCATGCAGGATGCGGAGACGTTGTCTTCTGTCTGCGCCGTTCGGTCTCAGGAAACTTGAGGGCAAAGTGTCCTTGGGTGTTACAGAGTACAGGCGATGGTTCATAGACTCTGTGCCACAACACTTTTAACATGTGGGTGCCTGTGTGCCCCTCTGTGAGCTCCTGCAAGGCATCTCTGAGCTGATGAATCACCAGGATAGTCTGAATAAAAGGTGAAACATTTGCAAGAGGCTCAGCTAACGGAGATGTGAGAGAAACTGTTTTATACTTCAGGGCAAATTTTAGCCCTGCTATGGGGATCTGCACAGAACGGGAAGAGCGGGAAATTTGGGAGGCTTGTTTTTTTCTTCACCAAAAGTATCTGTTTACACCCATGTGTGGATGGGGACTTAGGTGCTGTTACTGGATCTGCATTTTCTGGCTTTAAATTAATTTGGACTTCACCATAGCCTTAGCCTGGGCTGAGCTGGGATAAAGCAATAATAAACTCAGGCCTCTGTAGTGCTTCATTAGTTTTAAAAATGGGCCATCAGCATTGTTGGGCTTCAGAACTCCAAGCTCTGCTCTTTGCTCCTTGAATGGGATTATCTCTTTAATTCTGTTTTGTTTTCCCAGAAAGGATGGAGAATGATGTTTTCTGCACAAATCTCTTTCCTTTTCATTTGTTGTTCTATTGAAAGAGATTTGTACAAGCTGACTTTACACTTCCGGAGTTGCCGCTGTTGGTGCTGCGCCTCCTGGACCCCACTGCCAGCAGCGGCGGCCTGGCCAAGACCAGGAACCACTAGCATCTTTTGGAATCACAGGCCTCTGTTTTAACTCGGTTTATTTCATGGGAGAATATTTGTGACCCTGGTGGAAATTTTTCATTACATGGATGCCTTATGATGACTGTCAAATTAAACTAAGCTTTGTGACAAGTTCAGCCTTCTGGGCAGTTTTTTAGCGTCTCTGCTGTGGCTGTGTGGAAGAGCTAACTTGGTACAATGTTTTTGTTCTGTCCTTTTCTGGGGTGCAGCACAGAGGGAGTTTGGAAGCTGTTTAAAAGCTGCAGAGGAAGAAGCTGGAGAGGTGGCAAAAGCAAATAATCAAAAGTAAATATTATCTATTGTTCCTACAACTGATAGAAATACATGAGATCGGCTGTGTGTTTGCATATACACCCATCAGAGCAAGGAAATACTGCCTGAACCAGACTGTCTCCTTTTTAAAGAAACCTAAGTTAGTGTTTTTGCTCTCATCATCTCTCTGAGATCCCATCAAATGGCTTTTATTGTCAGACTGGTTTTCTGAAACACAGAAGCAGAGTGAGATTTGTTTAAAGTATTCCATGCATTCTTTTTCAGGTACTTTTGTTTCTCCTGTGAGCAAGGAGTGCATTTTTATTTTGGAGAGGCAAAAAATTGGCAGCAAGTTTGTAGAGATAAGCCTTCCTTTTGTTGACATAAAATAAATTAGTGCTTCAGGTTACTTTCTGTCTTGATTTGTAGTAGACTTCACGTTGACAGGCAAATTAGACTGATTAAATAGAAGCTATTTATTTGTTTTATCTTTGGTACGTTAATTTCTGATCTGTTTAAGTCAGATTAGTACAACAAATTGATTTTATTTAAACAGATGCCAAGAAATTGGGTTATCTTTTTTATTTTGAAAATGAAAACTATTACTTTATGTCATTGCAGCCTTGAGCAGGGCAACATGGGATCTAGAAATATCACTTGTGGAAAAGCTCGGAAGAGCCAAACCCTTTAATAAAATGGAATATTTCTAACTTAATTTTTTTAGCATTTCATAGCCATGTTGGTTGATGCATTGTAAGGCAAAGTGGGAGGTGATAAGAAAGGGTGGGAGATGGGATATGATTTGGTATAAAGTGTCACAGGGATTAAGGTTGATGTTTTAGGAGTATGATCTAGGGGAGCATCAGCTTTGTGCATTGTTTTAATTTTGGTGTTTTGTACCACCTTGCTCTTGTGTGCTGTGGTAGCCAGGCTGGAAGTTTGGAGCTGTGCCTGAGCTAATGAGAGATCTATAACCCCAAGCACCCCTTCCAAAGTCTCCTTTAAGCAAAAAGATACTCTGTGCTGTTCCTCTGATACAGGGCTGACCACTGTCAGCTGAGTGCTATTGCAGGGACTAAGCCTTTGCCTTCCTAGTTCTGGTATTAGGATCCAGAGAACTGGAAGAGCTCCGTTGTGAACAATTTCCATGTATCATAATTTGCAGAAACAAACACACACGTTGGGCCCAGCCACCGCTGCTCTATCACTTTTACTTGTCCCCCTGTCCTTGAACCACCAGGAGTTGGAGACAAAAGCAAACATGGGGTTGATGAAACCCAAAAGTTGGCAAATAATCATGAAAATATCAATGCTATTCTAAAGGATTGTCTTCATTCATATGGAAATGAGCTGGCTATTTAGCTGGACACAAATCCCTTTTAACTTTAAATATCTATAGCAATAGGACTGTGTTTGTGTCTCCAGGAGTGGTTTAATTCAGCAGGATTGCCAAGAAGCAACAGAGAAAATTCTCTGCTGCTTTTTTCCCCAAGAGTTCAGGTTAACAAAAAAAAATATCATCAGCTGCATAATGCATGAATTTGCCCCTTTCCAAGTCTGCAGTGGGGCAAGGAAAGCATGTAAGGTATCTAGGAGACAAAGATAATATCCAACTCTTTCCTTTTTCTGATAACTCATAAATAGTTATGTGTTCAACTAGTTAACTGTTCCAGGTTGGGCCTACTGTATTTAGTTAGAGCTCAACACTCCTCCTGCTTTCTAGAGTCTGTCCTTTAATGGAATTTATGCAGTTGTGATCTGTGATTGCTGTTCCCTAAAGAACGCAGGGGTGAAATCACATAGATCAGAGCCTCACTGTTCCTGACACAGAGGCCTATTTTCCCCTCTCCCTCCCCCAACAGACCTCTCCTGTGTTGGCTCCCTCGCAGCTGCAGCTCCCTCACATGAGCCATGGACAAGAGGGGTCCTTATTCTTACTGCCAGCAATGTTTCTTCTGCTCCCAAAAGGGTCAAAACTGAACGTGAAAAGTCTTGTTTGTTGATTAAATTTGCAGTATGCAGGGGAGAAGTCTTGTGTCTGTACAACGGGCATGACCAAGGGCCAGAGAACCTATTTGTGGGCGGACAGCTGCTGCAGTTACCTGTGAGCATTTCCATCTGCTAAAGTTGGCTCAAGAGGAGGATTTCTGTATTCATTTCTGATGCAAACCATTCAGGCACGTGTTTTCTGTGGATCTCTCTCATTCAGATGACCTCTCTACCCAAGGACCAGGGGACATAACCTTTAGATTCAAACACGTCACAGGCAAGTGTGAAAAACAAGCTTTATTGTAAACACCAGGTCTTCCCACGCTGGCTCAGCAGCTGCTTTATTGGCCAAACCTGAGCTCCTTGAGAAACACTGACGTGAAAGGCCCAAATACAGAAAAAGAAAGCAGCCTGCTTCAGTGTGCCTTGACCTGTCCCAAAACCTTGGTATGCTGAAGGATGGTCTCATGGGGCCCTTATTTCTGCATTTCTGTCCTTTGTCATGAGCAAGTCAGTATTTTTTAGGGTATTTTTTCTATTTCACTGATCAGCAGTAGCTATCAGAGTATGAGAAGTTATTTCCTATGCCAGTACAGTCCTTGGACAATTACATGGTGATAAAATATCTGAAAATGTGATCTTTGCCATTATGCCAGGGAAGCACTTGGTGAGGGGTCAGCAATTTCTCTGACAGCTTCTCTGTCACAGTCATCACGAAAACGGTGTTTGGCTTCATTTCCCTCCACCTGTAAGAGCAGTTCGGGTGACCACTGCGCTTTCCTTTCTCAGATAATGCTCCACGCAGGCAGTCTCCCGTCTCTCCCAGGAATTCCGGTACAGTGAATCTGAACAACGGGCTCGCGGATCCCGAGAACGCCCCTCACGGGGGGCGGAGCCAATGGGTGGTGTGTGGGACGTAACGCCCGCTGATTGGTCGGCTGTCCCGTCAGTCACCAGCGGGGTGGGCGGGGCCGCGGGCTGCGGCGTTGCCCGGTAACGGCCGCCCCGGGCAATGGCGGCGGCGGGGCCGCCCCGCGGTGAGGAGGAAGCGGGGGTGTGTGCGGGGGTGGCCGGGCTGAGAGATCCTGTGGGGACGGGGGGCTGCTGGGTGGGAGGAGGAGTGAGCAGAGGGGCCCTGCTGGGGCTGGGCTCGAGGAAAAGGGTGTTGGGGGGGAGCCCTGTGGGGAGGGTGTGTGCGGAACGGGGGGGAGGGGACGTAAATGGGTGTAGGTCTCCTCAGAGACCCCCTTTCTCTTCCAGCAGAGCCGTACAGCGTGGTATCGGGTGCTGGAACAACCAGCAATGTGGTGGTTCAAGGTGCTGCGTGTTAGAGCGAGAGGCTTTCTGTCCCTAAATAGCTGCGCCGTGCCTGTTTGTTTCCCTGTTGCAATTCCCCAGTAACACTCGTTTCTGTTGCAGGTTTGTGCCTGGCAATATAAAGACGTGGGAACTGCCGGCAAAGCTGCTTAGGATTGTGTTGAAAATGCTGGGAGAGAAAAAGCAATTAATGGTGAAAAGAGATCTCTACGCTGACCCCACGTTTCCGGCCAGTGATACCTCTATATTTTTTGATTATTGTACCCCACTTGCCCAGTTCAGAGGCGAGATATCTTGGTTGAGACCGAAGGTGAGTTTTAAGTATAAAGGGCTGTGATTTTAGCTGAACTGGGCTTTCAGGTAGTAAATACAAGTTAGCATTGAATGACTGCTTCTGGGTGTTTTTATTGTTTAGAAATATAGAAGGGATAAAACCAATGTATGTCAGTGTTAACAATACATAAGTTATAGTTTATAAGCCTGGGTGCTTTTTTGTAGGTTTAAATCCTCTTGTAGAGATTTTAAATTTCAGGCACTGGTAGAAGTTCAGATATTTTATTATAAATATGTTTTGTTATGCAAATAATGTGCATACCAAGTTAGAATACAGCATTACGTCACTCCCAAATTTTTCAATATGTTGCATAACTGCCTTGAAAACAAATAATTGGATTTTAGAATTTTTCAGAAGCGTATTGCTTTTTCTTGGTTGTTGATTTCTTTGATAACAAGAAAGAAACCTTTTTTAAGTTTATAACTTGTCATATGACTTGTGTTGCTTTTAAACTTTGAGCTGGGTTGCAGAGCAAGCTGTATGAGAGCTAAAAGCTTTAGAATGCTTTTTGGCAGTGCACTCGTTTTAAGTGAAGTATTTATGATACTGCCTTTGTGTCGAGGAGAAAAAAAGGCTATAAGAATGTAATGGAAGAAAAAAGTATGTTTTCTTCAGTTGTATTTTCTCCCGTTCATGTGGGGGTGGCTGTAGAACTGTGATAGAGCTGTTGGTTGTCAGGTGTAATTGGCAAAGAAATAACTTTACAGAGCCCAGTGTGTAGCTTTTGTACTTCACACCGTGATTGCTACTGGGAGCTGATCAGTTAATTTCCGTTTCTTGCAGTGTTTATACGTAAGAAGAACCATTTAAAAAATTCACTTTCAGATATGATTAAAAGTGTTCAGGACTTTACGTTTGAAAGTACCCCTCTTGCTACCAACTAATCTATTTTTATTTGCTCTAGGAAAGGTTTTTCCCTTAAACTTATTTTAAGATTTTTGTGACTTGGGGCGTGCAGTTCAATGTGAATGGCATCAGCTCTGTCACAGTTCATCATAACTCTAGAAAAGAACTGATGAGTTATGTTGTCTTTCACTTATTGCTGCTTCTGCTAAGGTTGCACCTGATGGTGACATCTGTATACTAAAATTCATGTGGGAACTTGATTTACATCACACAAAGTACCCGCGGTATAGCCACAAGACATTTATTTGTTATTGCTTGCTTAGGCTGTGTCTGGAAAGGAAATTTTCTAGAAGTAAAAATTCCCTTATTTTGTGAGAGGTCTCTGGAGCCCTCCCAGTCCCTGAAACACACTTCCTTAGAATATCATGCAGGATTTGGCTTTAACTCCTCTTCTTTTAATTTTAGGACATTTGTTCTTCTCCTCGGTTATTTTCAAACAACGTGCAGGACGTGCAAGTGAAACAAGGAATTTTGGGAGACTGTTGGTTCCTGTGTGCCTGTGTGGCTTTGCAGAAGAGTAAATACCTACTGAACAAGGTATGGAGAAGTTTTCTTCACCTAGTTGACATTTGTGTATTGTTCTGGAGTCCCAAACTGCCATGTGAGTATCGTTTTCATTATGCTCAGTGTTACTGGTTTTGTTGTCATATTTTTTCTGTGTTTACTACAAATGGTTGATATTCAGTATCCTTTAAACTGGCTTTATTTACAAAAAAAAAAAAAAATAAATTCATTGTTTGTCTTCACTTTGGCTTCTGGCCACTAGGTGATCCCTCCAGGTCAGCCCAGCTGGACAGATGAGTCCTACCAAGGCTGTTTCACCTGTCGGGTCTGGCAGTTTGGGCACTGGGTGGAAGTGACCATCGACGATCGCCTGCCTTGCCTTGGGGGTAAACTCTGCTTTTCCCAGTGTCAGACAGAGGATTTGTTTTGGCTTCCACTCTTGGAAAAAGCTTATGCAAAGTATGTGAACACTGTTATTGAGGAAAATAAAAATACAATACTTGTGCGTCCCTCCTACTTACTTAATTTACCTGACTGCTTTGGGCATAGATCTGTGTGTTGTTCAGTTGGTGGTCCCATCCTGGCTTGTGCAGAAGTTGCTCTTTAACTGTAGATCTGTAAAGTGTGTTTTTAGTTGCACACGAGGTAAGATAGCCTTAGGGAGAGAATTCTGATGAAAAGTAAGAGCTTTTTTCAGGATGCAAATTTTGTTTGTTAAGTCACTGTCCATTGGTCATCTAATTTATTAAAGGAAGATATTTTACTAGGAAAGATGAGAGCTCAATGAAAAGCAGAAAGCATGCAAATACTTTGGTGGAAAGCAACAGCATTATGTAAGTTTATGCTAGTTGAGGCTCTGGTTGTGTGAGTTTCACTGCTCTTTTGCCTAATTTGATAGTTTATTATTTTAAGAAGAAACAACCATAGCGTTAATGTGTTTGAAAATGCAGCTATTTTATGGTTTATGACACATCCATCGAAAAGCTGTCCAGGTGGACAAAGCAATTTGGAGACAAAAATGCACTGGTAAGATAGACATCTAATATCCAGAAGAACGTGGATGGAAGATTGTGTGGTTGCCAGCAGAGGGCAGAGAAAGACTTCAAGCATCAAGTAATTTATTCAACTGTAGGTATATTGAGCAGAAGTTGTAAAGCAGCAATGTCATGTTAAAGCTTCTCTATAGGTTTGAAATGTAATATTCTTGGTTTTCTGCTGCGATCTTATTGTTGAATCTTATAATTCTATTGTAGTCTTGATTTCTTTTGCTATTTTTTGCATTTGCTGCATCAGGTAAGGTAGTCTCTTGGCTTTCTTAGGTCGTTGAAGGAAGTGCTACTCTGCTTGTTTGTACAGAGTGAACAAAGAATAATTGAACAAGAGGAAGAAATGTTCTTTATTTATACAGAATGATCATGAAAGGTGATGTAGAAATTACTAGTACTAGACTATAGCAATTTTTACATAGGATGGAGGGAATTCTAATAAACTACCCATTAAACAGTGGAATATCTGATGGCTTACATATTCTTTAGATGTTGTATTCTGTATAAATAAAATAGTATATACTTTCTGTTGCCTGCTTTGAGCTTTGAGATATGAGGTAGGGTGCAGTCATAGTTGTGATTTAGGGTGGGGTTTGAAATTATGTAAGAACTGTGTTTCTTTAGTTCTGCTATCTGTACAAACTTTTTCTTGTTTTGTTTTTTTTGGTTTTTTTTGTTTTGTTTTGTTTTTTTGTTTGTTTTTTGTTTGGTTTTTTTGGTTTTTTGTTTGTTTTTTTGTTTTTGTTTTTGTTTTTGGTTTTTTTTTTGTTTTTGTTTTTGTTTGTTTTTTGTTTTTTGTTTTTTTGGTTTTTTTTCCAGAGTGCATGGATCTTATGAGCAGTTGTGGGCAGGACAGGTGGCTGATGCTTTGGTTGATCTGACTGGAGGAATTGCTGAAAGATGGACCCTGAAAGACCCTGGAAAAAACATGGAGAAAGAGAAGACTGGCATGGTTTTGGAGAAAGCAGTGTTTAGAAGATTAATGAATCTGAAGGAACAGTGTGTAATAAGCTGCTCAGTCCTCAATTCCAGACAAGGTAATATTAAATGTCTCTATTTAACAGGCTTCAAAGCACAAAGCAGCCAGCAAATGCAAGTGCCGATTCTAGTACCATGCCAATTTCACGGTGCAGTTTTATATAAGTTTGGAGAAATAAAGATTTAAGGATGTTACTGAGTTCAAGATGGAGGGTGGTTTTGAGGAGTGCTTTTTATATTAGATGCTAATACGGTTAGTTCTCAAAAACAAATGCACTCTCTACACACCCCTCAAAAAAGCTTCTCAAAACCAAGCTTAAAAACCCCAAAGAATTTCAGCGTAGTGAATTTGTAGGTATTTGAAATCAAGGAGTTAATAAGCTTTAAAATTTTATTTTATTTCTATATAGTCACAACTAACATGAGCTGTTTAGGGGGTTTTTTTTGTGCTGTTCTAATACAGATCTTAAAAAATTTTCTCTCTATCTTAAAATTGCTTTCTTTCACAGGATAGTTTAATGTAATTTTAAAATATGGAACAGGTTCTTTTGTTTATTTTCAAATGCTTTTTTTTCCTATTCAGGTGCAAGTGAACTAGGAGAATTTCATGCCTTTATTGTGATAGATACATTGAATCTTTTTGAAGTGTCAGGCAAGGAGATCTTCTTGCTACGAATTCGAAATCCTTGGGGGAGGCGGTGCTGGAAAGGGCCCTGGTGTGAGGGGTGAGTAGGTTTCTTTTCATTTGGAAAGTCCTTTGTGAAAGTTCTGAAGCACAGGAGCATTTCTGTGTGTTGCATAGGCAAACAACAAACACTGCTAATAGTCTGTAGTGGAGGAGAGAGACTGCAGTGCGTGTGCAGTCCTTTAGAAAGCTGGTAGTTCACACACCTCATTGGTTCTGGCTGGTAATTTTGATCTCCTAGTCCTAGTAATCTGAATTTTTTTACTACCTTTTTTGTTTATCAAATCATATATTCTCATGGAGATAAACTTAAGGTGATGGTTTATTTTCTGTTTCTGCTTTTTGTGGTGCTTTTTTGTTGTTCTGCAGTTGATCTAAGTATCTCTGATCATGTTTATGACTTGTAGTCACTCAGCTTTACTTGACTCTTCTCATGTAATCCTGGCTTAGTTGCAGAAAACCAAGAAAGGAGTATTTATGAAACAAAATTTAGCAGAATGAAGGATGCTTATGTTTGTTGCTTGTGTGTTGTCTTTTCTGTAGATTAGTATGAGTTGGAAGATTGGTATGAAGCTGGAACTGAATCCATAGAAAGTAAAAATAAAGAAGATATCTGTTAAAGAAGATGCAGAAATATGTGTAGCAGTTCATATAGCAAAGTAACAAGAATGAAAGGGCAGACTCCACTAGCTTATTTTGAAAAACATTAGCTTGTTTTGGCTCTACAAAAGAACATACAATTCTTGACCCAAGGAGCAAGTGTTCAGCATTAAAATAGGATAACAATATGATGATGTTAATAAACATTTTTATAGAATAGGCTTTTTTCCCCTGAGTTAAAAAAATGATTTCATTGTATTAATTGAGACTTCTGTAGATTTTTTTTATTTTTTTTTTGCCAGTGGTCTGTTTTAATTTCTTTGCCAAACAGTAAGCTGCCATGTAGTTGCAAGAGGACAGTGTTTTCTTGGGTGGTCTTAAAACCCTGTTTTATTCAAGTGCAAACCCGTTCTTTTTTGCTAGTGAAACAATGAAAAATACTGAAACTCCTACCTTTTAATGGCCCCTAAATAACGAGATGTTTAAATTCTTGGTTTATCATGACTTAGCCAGCAGATTCATGGGGATAACCAGCTGTTTTATACAAATGGCAGTTTTTGATGTACAGCATTAAAATTCTTTCAGAACAGTCACTGTGCAGCTTGTTTTACTTTTTTGCCACTGTTTTAACAATTGTTAAAAATCTTTATTTTGCTCTCACACATTGGGCTGTACTGACTGCTGTAAGTAAAGCACCTATTTCACCCAGAAATCTGTTGCTGTATCCAGTCTGGTGTCATGTTGTTTCTAGGTTTTCTTTAATATGCTGTGACTCAGACTTCCTATGGTCCCTCTCACTGACCATCAATGTGTGTGCAGAAATATTCAATGCAAGTATTTGACAATAAAGTGAGAAATCTCTTCTTACTGTCCTGCTCCATAAGATATTTGGTAGAACATTTTTGTGGAACTCCGTTGGGAAAAGGGTTAAATGCTAACTTTTTTCTTATGTGCAGTGGGCAAGGATGGAACCAGTTAGATCCAGTAGTTGCTTCAGAACTGCTCTCACAGATCCAAGAGGGAGAATTCTGGGTTGATGAAGAGGAATTTTTCAGGGAATTTGATGAGATTACCATGGGCTTTCCAGTCAATGAGGAAGGACGACTTCAGAGCCTCTATACAGGTGTGGTATTAGAAAACATCTTTCTCATGCAAATAACATTATGTCAATAGGAAGGACTGATTTGAATTGCAAATGGATCCAACTAGACCTTAATTTCTCAGTTTTTCCCTCTCCTTTAGACCCATAGGCCTTTTCTGTCTCTACTGGGAAGAACAGAAGGACAAGAGGAAATTTAAGCTTAGATGTTGCTCTGAAACCTCATTACTTGCTGGAGAGATTAGTGTTCTCTGTCTAGAAAGCTGTTGTTCTGAACATCCTTGTGATGTTTTGTTTTTAACTTGAGATTTCTAGAAACAGTTTCTTGTTGTAAAAATCATGTCATCAGTCTGCCATTACCAGTTGTGACATTAATTCTCATGCCTCTCAAATCTTGGTCATGAATTTCTGCTTAGAGAAAGTGTTAGGGCTGTTGACAGCATGTTTTCTTGGACTGGGGAATCTCTGCCATATATCTGTTGTATAAAATTAAGTAGACTCCCGTGTCTGAAATCTGCCCTGTGTTTTCCTTATTTTGTTAGAGAAAGTGCTGTATCACTCGCAGAATCTTTTTGGATCCTGGGTGAGAGGCCAGTCTGCTGGTGGCTGCCGTAACAACAGCAGCTTCCCTACCAACCCCAAGTTCTGGCTGAGAGTCTGTGAAACAAGTGAGGTGTGCATTGCTCTGCTGCAGAAACACAGGAAATACAGCACTGACTGGGCTGGAAGGATTCAAAATCCAACTCATTTAGCAGAGGAAAATCCATCTTTGACTGAAGGCATACAGGGGAAGAACTACCAGGCTGTGGGATTGCATGTCTGGAAGGTAATATGTGAATGACATTTTTCTTTTTGCAAATAGAAGTTTTAAAGCATTACTGAAACATTTGAGCAAAATCATTCATTTCCTGTGGCACTGATACAATTCAATGGGTCACATCTCTGATTTATGCTGGAATGGTTCTGTTTATCTCACAGTTACTGCCTGTAAAAACTATTAGTGGACTAGTACTTTCTTTTTATCACTGAGCACTTGAGATTGTTCTGAACTAGTGCATGACATTTCAGGCTGATTATTTGAAGACCATTCCTAAATTTACTCCTCCTGAATATTAACTCTTCCTAGTCCTCCTTGATGTTCAACTTATGTGCTGGTACTGCCCTCCTTGTTTCTTTTTGTAACTGTATTCATGTTTAAAAATGTTTTAAACAATACTTGATAATTTTTAGTTTTATTAGAAACTACTCGTTTTTCCTAAAACACCATGCATCATTATGCATCTGTTCTAGGTGGAGAAGAAACGATTTAACCTTCCAAAGACCCTCTCTGCTCCTCCAGTTGTAGGTACCATCTGCCATTCCTACGATAGAGAAGTCCATGTGTGCTGTGACCTTTCGCCTGGCTTTTATCTTGTTGTTCCCAGCACTTTTCTGAAGGATGCAGTAGGGAATTTCTTGCTTCGTGTATTTTCAACGGGAAGGATCTCTCTCAGGTAGGTTTAAAAGAAAACAGAACATTTCTTGTAGTTGTTGACATAAATACATGAAGTGTAGTACTAAGTGTGAACGTTTAAAATACTTCGAAGGGTTGTGTAGAGTGTCAGATAACAGCAATTTTTTGTCTTTGAATTCATGTAAGTAGTGCTCTAGTTCCTTATATTTGTCATGAAGCTGCTACTACCTCTTGTTGAAATGCCAGTCAGAGGTAGCCAGATGAGTAACATCTTGACTCTAAACTGCAGCTTAGTGCTGTATGCAGAGGCAAAATGTACTGTTGCAACGTGTTTAAAAGCTGTTCAGATTTTTTTATACTGTGGTACTACACAGGTTTTATACATTTTAGTTTCTTTTCTCTCTTACATTTGATAGTGAACTAAAGCCACCACCCACAGATGCTGCTCTCTGCGAAGAACTCCCAGCTGGTGAATGGGAGACAGTGCAGCTGCATGGATGCTGGAAAAATGGGCAAAGTGCTGGAGGTAGCAGGAACTTCCCCTCCTTCCATACCAATCCCTGCTTTCCCCTCTCCATTCCTGCAGGACCAGGAAAAAGCAGTGTGAAAGTTACCCTCCGTCAGCACTGCCAGGATAGCAAGTGTCGTCCAATAGGTTTCCATATTTTCCAGGTAAGGCTTCTGGTCAGTTGGATTGCTCATTTGCCAAGGGTGAAGGTAAAACTGTCATTTAGTTCAGGGCTCCTTGCACTTTGCAAGGGACTTGCTGCTTCTAGGAGAAACACAGGCTGATCCTGGGATGTAATGCCCTTGAAAGATACTGAATAACTACGTAGTTACATAGCGTAGTAACCAGATAATTGGTTCCACTGAATCCTTACAATGTTCTGAATTAGTTTTAGAAATTATGAACTCTTTTGAGGATTTGCAAAGAATTCTCAGTGTCCTGGTGATCGAGGGCCAGACATTTTGGTAATTAATCATGAAAGCTTACTTTCTTCATGTTTAATAATCACTTACTTGTCCATAGGCAAGTGATGTTGGATCAAAAGGACTGTGATATCCTGAAACAAAACGAGATATGATTTGGTATGGACAGATACAGGTTCTGCACTGGTGTGTGCCAGTGATCAGTTGCATAAATGTAACATGAGAAGCCGCTGGTTAGGTAACTATATTGCAAAGAAAGCCAGCTTTATTTCTAGAAAACATGCTTCAAAAAAGGTGTTGCTTAAGTGAAAAGTCTGGAGTTGAGCATTAGAAGTGATCACAAAGCTTCAAATATACAATATATGAAGAAAGATTAGCATTTTTTATGCCTTTAGGAGGCTGAGGTGAAGTCTAATATGAATTTTTAGTACAGGAAAGGCCACTAGAATGAGTAAGGACATGGTATGTTCACCAAATTCATGAGGTGAAAAATAAGTGCATTAGGATACTTATGCAGGGAAGAGTGAGGTTAGACAACAGAGAAAGCTTTAGAGCTGTGTGAGTAGTGGGTTGCATAAATTGTCTATAAACATGCTTGGAATGATTCATCTGTGTTTAATACTACCATCTGGGTTTTCTGGAAGCCTTCCCATCTTTCTCTCTAGCTCTGTACAGGAAAGTGAGTATCTGGAGTGCAATAGAGATAGACCATACCATGCTGTGGTGTCCTAGGAATTAAACATTGTGAAATCTAAAATAGATAAAAAGTAGGCACGTATTCTTTTTTGCAGGTGCCTAACAGCAGCTGGAAACCACAAACTACTTCTTTTCTCCACCTGGAGCCACTGGTGAGCTGTGTTCCTCATTGCTATTCACAGGAAGTGAGCCGACTCTGCAGGCTTCCTGCAGGACGCTATGTCATTATACCTTCTACGTACTTGCCCAATACAGAAGGCAATTTTACAGTGGTCATAGCAACCAAAATAGACAGGTAAAGTTATGTTGTCTTCTATTTGCATTTCTAGTCTTTTTCATTCATGTATTACAGGATGTTTGAATCATAGAATCAACCAGTTTGGAAAAGACCTCTGAGTTCATCAAGTCCAACCCTTGATCCAACACTGCTGGTCCAACCAGACCATGGCACTGATTCCACATCCAGTCTCATCTTAAAATCCTCCAGGGATGGTGAATCCACCACCTCCCTGGGCAGCTCATTCCTGTGTCTGATTACTCTCTCTGTAAAAAAGTTCTTCCAAATATTCAATCTAAACCTCCCCTGGCACAGTTTAAGACCGTGCCCTCTTGTCCTACTGCTGGTTGCCTGGGAGAAGAGACCGACGCCCACCTGACTACAACCTCCTGTCAGGTAGTTGTAGAGAGTGATGAGGTCTCCCCTGAGCCTCCTCTTCTCCAGGCTGGAAACAATAACTGTAGTAATGTGTTCTCACTTGATGCAAATTTTTTTAAAAGTCTTGGGTTTGCTCTTGTGTGTTTACATGCTCTGCTTATCACTTTGATTATGTTGGAAGAATGACTAAAAAAATTTAAGTATTTGTTAAATCTTCTTGCATCACTTGCTGAATAAATGGTGTCTAGTGCAGGAGAAGATGGCACTAAAGCAACTAATTACCAACTATATGTGGATGTTAGGAGTTATGCTGAAATTTATCTGAGCTTTTTAATAATCAGGGTTATTTTTGAGAAAATGCGATGAGTAGCCAGCCTTACTCCAGGTAGTTCCTCCCGATGTGAATAACAACAGGTCTGCATCTGAGTTTGTAGCTTCCATAAGATTGCAGTAAGATTCCATAGAATTGCATCAAGATTCCATAAGGGAAAGGACGTGGAACAAAGCCTGATATAACTGTCTTCTCTTTTGGAAGTGGGATAAATAATTGGTATTTACAAGATTCCTCAATGCTTTGTGCAAAAATAAGTGTGGTTTGGGTTTTCAACAGGAAGCGCATTCAAAGCCAGGAGACACTTGGACAAGTATTGCAAGAGGTAAGTGACACATTTTGATGGATATATTTTGATATATTCATTCCTGGTGTCACCACAGATCTGCTTGCTTTAATTATATATCGTATCCTTCCTCCGTCTGATTGGCTTTGATACTGATTTGGTATCCTACGTATTGTGATTTTGAAATTTAATGGCATTATAGTGTTGTAAAGACTTAAGAAAGCACAGCAAAAAGAGAAGATCAAACAGGCAATTCAAATATTAGCTTTCACCACTCTAGAGTTTAGGTTTTTTATTTGTTTCCTTACAACCAGCCCATATAGCATCCTAACATTGTAATCCTTCCTGGTGTGCAAGCTGTTCTGATCAAGTTCATGCCAGCTATTTCATACTTGGGCTTTGTGTTTTACTTGATTAGATAGACATGTAGTATTGAAGGGTTGTTTGTGAATGCTGAGTAACTAATACAGTATGTGGAGAGGAGAACTTTGAATGTATTTTAACAATTGTTTAAAGATACCTGATTTGAATGGTGGATCAAAGCATGCCTTTGATAATACTCTGCTTATTAGTTGGAATAAGACCATCTAGATACTTGGGTCTTTCCTTTTGAGGTTTAAACAAAACAAAAATTGTAGGAAAAACTCTTCACCCACAGTTAGAACTGGCTTACTCATTTTCTTAGTCTGGGTCATGTTGACCAATTGTTACATTTTGTCCTTAAAACCGCAAAACCAGTATGGATTTTGTGTGCTTCCCAAAAATGATCACAGACCTGTGTGTACTTTCCACATGGTTCTTTTTATTTTAGTATTTAGGAGCTGAAGTATGTAATGAAAGTCCTTTTTTTGCTGTTGTTTTGGAAATAAAACATTGCAAGGCCATTATATCAGAAGGAATCTATTGCAAGATATGTTTCTTGTATTCCTTGAAAATGGAATCAAGGGAACAAACAGTTCAGATTATTAAGGACTTGAAAGCTTCAAGAATCTGGAAATTGCAGTTTTAGTTTTAATATCAGTGGCAGAAATTAATGTCTGAATCTAATCTTCAACAGCATGGGCTTTTCTAAAGACTGGACTTTAGAAATCATTCCATGCTTTCGGGGGTTTAACTCCTCAGTGAGGCAGACTGCCTAGATCCCTCAGGGGTAGGGCTAGTGATTTCTAAGGGATATATAACAACAGCAGAGCTGAATGTCAGTGTATTTTTCTAGAAGTTTGACTGTGTTTTCTCATTAGTGAAGTGATGGGATTTATGAGTAAGATTTTTTTTAAACAACGTTTCACAGGAAAAGCTTGCATTTTGTCCTTAATTTCTAAGTAGTTCTTGTTTCTGATTCACTTTAAATCCTTATGAATTCCTTCTTGACAAAAAAAAAAAGGCTCATGAAATAGCTTTTTTTTCTGTATTGCTCGTTTTCTTATAGGTTTCCTTTACAACTGTGATGAAAAGGTAACCTGGAATTCTCACACTGTCATTTCAAGAAACATCGGAAAGCCAAGGGATGCCTCACCTCTTGCTGTTCTTGGTTTTAAATGAAATAACAGGAAGATGCCCTTAGCCCAGCTGTTTTTCACTGGTACCAGCTGTCAGGCCTAAGATGACTTCTTAGTAAAAATACCTCCTTTAATCATGTACACTCTGAATATTTGTTCTTCCCCTGTTTTTAGAACGAGAATTGTACAGCAAATTATAACGTACCTCAGTTCTTCAGAAATACAGGTGAAGAATATGTGCATGTTTTGACCCAAGCTACAGTTTTGGAAGAAACACATGTGCAATGCCAGGTTGGATGGAGCCCTGAGCAACCTGGTCTGGTGGAAGGTTTGAACAAGATGATGTTTAAGGTCCCCTGCAACTACAACCATTCTATGATTACAAAGTAGTATTTTGTGGAAAAAAGTTATCAGCCTGACAGAATAAATTCAGGTGACTAAAGGGGTAAACATGGAGAAAAAACTGGAGTCTTTTTTTCAGGTAGGACATACCTCAAGAACCATCAAAATACACTGGAGTAAAGAAAGTCCAGGCTTGTATCTGACACTGCCAGTCCTGCTGCTGAGCACTTTACCTCGGGCCCTTTATGGAACCATGCAAATGGTGTGTTGAAAGGAGAGATTTTTTTGGTGAGTTTTTCTTTAATGAGCACCAGAAAGGAAGAAGATAGGACTTGAAAACTTTTGAACTATCCTGTCAGACTGCTTTTGTAAATCTGTAAGGATGTGTTTTATGCAAGATCTGCCCTCACTGTAAGAAATATCAAGTTTAAGAGATTTTTCTTAATTTATGATTGAAAGTATTTCTTATTCAAGCAGGATTTTTTAAATGTTATATTTTCCTCAATAAAAATAAAGTAAAATGGCTTTTATTAAAATGTCAGTGATGTTGAGTTTGCATTTGTTCTGCGGTAGCAAACTTTACAATGTGTTAGAAACCTGGAGTGTTCACCAAATGGAAGGGAATATGTTTATAAATATTGAAAATTGGAAATATTTGAGAGGAGAATCAAGTCTTCCATTAGTTTTATGTGTGAGAAATATGTAATATTCTACTTCCGCTTTTGACTATATCCTGCCATAATTTATGCTGGCTCCTGTTGAACTTTGAAAACTGAAAGCTTTTAGGATGCTTGCAGCTGAATTTTAAATGCTCAAAACCTTCCACATCTGTTTATGTGGAGAAAGAAGAAAACACCCTGAGTAATAAATCAGTACCGTACATGCTTTAACAAATGTTGACATTTTCATTTATTTTCTTGAAAGGCTGGTCCTTTTCACATAGGAAATTATTGGATCATACCATAGTATTTATAAACAGAAGAAGGAATGTTTCATGAAAGCACAGGGACTCGAGTTGTGATAACATAGGAATTGGATACTGAGGAAGTAAAAACAGGTGTAAGGATTTCTAAATGGACCGTGGTAATGAGAGGCCCCATTCTGGAGTCATCTGTGCCTGTGTGAAGTTTATGCTACACTACATAATGCTTATTAGGAGTGTGAAAGGAAAAGGAGTCAACAACTAAGTGTGTGTCCTCTGTTACCTTCTGCAAGAAGATGTAAGAAAAGACCTGTGAACTCAGAGGAGTAACAGCTTACTGAAAATTTTAAGAGTGTGATACCTGACAGAGCACATATGCAGGAAACTGCTTGATACAGTTCACTTCTCTAAAATCCTACATCTAATTCATTGCTACTGTGAGTGTGAAAATACATTTTTTTTCTGAAATGTATTATTGTGTACTTGTATATGCCTAAGACACAATTATATGAGCTCTGGCAAACTTATTTAAAAAAGTTGAGTATTCGAGGTCAGACCTCCTGAACAAGAACACTTGATTAATTTGCTGTACTGAGCTACCTATATTTGAATGCAATTGAGATAGTGGTGTGTATTTTTAAAGGATCTGCAGTTATTGACAGGTTGAAGTCCCTCTGCATTGTAGTATGTTGCAGACTAGCGTGGAATAGCACAGAGTTTATATGGATGAGGCTGCAGTATTGCACCCAAAACATACTCTGAACTGATTTCCTTTACTCCCTCAGGGAGCTGGAATGTAAATGCCCGAAGGAGGTTGGTAAAGAAGATGAACAGTTCAATTCGTGCCATCTGTTCCCCCAAACATACACGGTGCCCTGCAGACAGAAAACATAAAGAGTTAGTTGTATAAAGTTCTGTAAAAGGACTTCACACAAAATTCTACTGAGTTCCATAAATTCTTTTTCCTCTCTAAGGGCAGAAGATGCTTTTGGAGGTGGGGGAAACATTTAACTGAGAAACTCTGTGTCAGGTGTTTCATTTGGTGTTTTAATTGGTTTTGTTTGGGGTTTTTTTTCCACCCCTGGAGCATGTATAAGATCCTCCCTTTTCATTTTTGCTACTTGTTCTGTGAGAACCACAAATTGCTTCTCTGTTAAGCGAGATTTTAAAAAGTTTCATATACTTGAGAGTCTTATCTTTGGTTGTTGAGGAGGGAGGGCTGGAGCATTGCAAGATGCAGTTCTGAAGCCAAGGAGAGGGATGTAATCAGGCTTTCTTCGACAGAAATTCAGAAGGGTATACTGGGTCCATGTAGCCCACGATCTCTAACGCTGTCAGGAACAGATCTGTGAGCTAAGGGAGTGAAACGTACAGTGGCGTGTGTGGGGATGTATAGACTCAGTGACTCATTTTGGCACGTTGTTTTCACAGTATATGTCATGATATCTATCTATTCCAGACTAAAAAAAACCAAAAAACAGATATTCAGGATATATAAATACTCAAATTATGTAAACAGAAAACAACCAAGGCAAGTTAAAAATGAAATCTTCCTATGCCTGGCTTGAAATGGTAGTCCAAATTAGGTGTCTTGATTGATGTGAACTACGGGTATTTGGTGAGTGCAGGAGGTAAGATGCTATGTACCTGTTTTACAAAGATGAATTTAGGATTTATGGGCAATTTAGGCACCTGATGCTAGACTATAACTGTAGGATTTGGGAGGGCGAGGTTTGGTTTCCTGCTTTATCAGACGTTTCTCTGTATATTTTGAAAAATCGTATGCTTTTATCACTGGCCTTTCTGTCTATAAGGTGAAAATAAATCAATTTTCTGATTTGAGGGTGTTACCTTGATTTGACACATCAAGAACTAAGAAGCTCAGATACCCTTACAGTAGGAGTTGTACATATGCCAAGGAGAGCACTGTGTCTCCTGGCCATACTCATCCTCTCTTTGAATGCATCAAAATTACAAAATGCAAGACAACATTTGTAGCTCTTACAGAGCAGAAAACCTGACTTTAAATCTTTGTACCAAATACATTTTTATAAAGGCATGTTTTTAAAATTTTAGAACTTAGAAATAGCGTTTCTAATCTTGCTCTACAAGACACAGAAAACAGGAATATTCAAGGTCAGAGCGTTACCTGCTGAGAAAGGTAAGAATGCCTCTTTGTTTACAAAGTTGCCATCCAAATCAAGGAAATGATCTGGGTTGAACTTCCAGGGGGTTGCCCAGTGCTCAGAGTCATACACCACAGAGTGCAGATTTGGCAATACAAGTGTGCCCTGTAAGAAGCAGCAGAGTTTATATTTTTCATGTATGATTTTTTTTTTTTATTTTCCTTCTCTCTAATAGATAGTTTGCCATCCTGTGACTGCAGCCTCGTGTTTGGATTCAACTTGGCCTTTTTACAAGTGCACATCCCCTTGTACCTTCTCTTTGTCATAACCTTTTGCATGTTTGTTATCTTCTGTCAGTACTACTGAAGTGTTTTCGTGTCTAAGATGGAGTGGAGCTTGGATTGTTTTATGTGCTTGCCAGGGTAATCATAACACCTTCCTGTTTGGTTTTTGCACTCTTCACACTTTGTGTCTGTGACATGTTGCCACATTCTCTGCGAAGTTAGGAACTGTAGAAGCTCATGTCGTATAAATACTGAATATTAATAGCTCAAAGCTTTAAGAAACATGGACAACGTGGACAGAAACATGAAACTCTGTACCTTTTTTATGTGGAAGCCCAGCAGAGTCGTACTCCTCACGCATTGTCGGGGGACCCCGACAGAGGTAACGTTGCTGTACCGCAGAGCCTCGTGAATCACCGCGTTGGTGTACGGCAGCTTCTTACGGTCCTCATAGCTGATGGGATGGGAGGGTTCCACAACATCATCTATCTCTCTCTGAACCTTTTCTGCAGAGAGAGAAATGAAAATACTTAAACTATTTTTCCCCTCCTTTTTTTATCCTGCAGGTTTTTGCATGAGAATGTCCAGGACCGGGGAAATAAAAGAAATTACGTTGCTATGAAATACATTGGCAGGTGGTTTGACTGCTGTATTGGTTTCAGTTGATCAAGGAAGTGCATATCCCTAAAGCACAGGATGACACATCCTACTTGGTGATGAGTGTAATACAGTTCTATGTTTCAAAAAAAAGATTAAAGTTTGAAATTACAGATGTAATTTATGTTATGTTTTTAAATACGCATCGGACCAGGTATCTTTTAAAAGCTTTTCCGCTTTGAAGGTTAGGAGGGGGCTAGATTGCGTGTGAAATGTCTCTAACTTGTTATTCTGTCTTGCCAACCCCTCTTCTATGAGATAAAACAGTGGCTACCACCAATTTTTTGTAGTGTTGCTGGTGAACTGGAGGGGAAAGCACCTGTTTGTTTTCTTTATTAACTTTCCATTTTCCAAATCTCAGTTGTTGATGTTCTGCCATTCATATTCCTATTTAAGGGTTATTTTGATGTATTGCAAGTGATTGAGCTAACACTTATAATGTTCATTATGATGTTGACTGCAATTCTCTCTGATAATGATTTTGCTCACCTTGTATTTCTGGATGTTGTACCATATAGAGCAATGCCCAGAGAAGGGTGGTGCTTGTTGTTTCTGTCCCTCCCAGCAAAAGATCAACCACGGTCTGAACCATATTGTCTTTATTGAACGTAGAAGTAGGGTCATCTTTGGTCTGTAGGGTATATTCACAAGAAGACTATGAAGTGGATGATTTTATACATTTCATCAGTCATGTAGAAATTGTCATTGTTTAATAAAAACAGTGAGCAGCCCACCAGAACAGACATCTTCAGTGCTACACAAATAAAGTGTGCACTTGAAAGTTCCGTGGCAGTTACTGGAACCAAGTGTTTGTAGTAGGCATTGAGGCCAAGGAGGGTGATAAACAGATACTTACTTTTATTATTTGAGCTAGGTAGAAGTCAATGAGATGCTGTGGATCACCTGCCTTCTCTCTCTCATGGGCCTGGACCTCCTTCATGACTAAACTGTGCATGAAGTCGTTGTATGCAAACACTTTCTGATGAGGCCCTGGGAGACGGTGCATAAGCCATGGGAAAGCATCATACAGCTGTGGTTGTAGACAGAAAGAAAGGAATGTGAGGTCTTTTAAACTGAATTCTGATTTCCTGATGAGTCTGTGAAGTCACTGCATCACATGGGAACGTGATTATATTTTGCTTTTTGGATGAATACCCAAAATGCATCAGAGGTTCTGAAAATTGGTGAATTGGAGTAATTGAGGGCTGAATCTGACTCACAGACAGATTTTCTCAGTCTTGATTTTTTTAACAGTAATTTTTTTGAGACAACTCTTTATGGAGAACCTGATAATGTTATAGAAAGTCAGTTGCCAAAATCTGCACAACAAAAGCAATAGGTAGGCTTCTAAGAACCTAAAAATATTATTCTTGATGTGGTGAGATTGTAACCTGTATTTTATAGGAAGCTCAGAATAACTCAGGTCTTGGTGGTAATATGAATTATATGAGAAGCAAGATACATTCTCACAAGAACAGGACTTTGAAGCCTTAGTTCTTATTAACTGCAATTCTGTATTCGCAAGACTGAACAAAAATTAAATTTTAGAAATTGCTTTCATTTTAAGAATTGTGAATCATACATACCAACTATTCTGTAAATGATTACTTGTTGGAAATCTGTGAAAACCAGTGATGTCCTAAAATTTAAATTCTAGATCATGTGATTTATAGACATGAAGGATTATAAGGCAGTAGTGACATATACAAGGTATATATTCATTTATTACTTCACGATGGCTCACGGAGCTGTGGTGTGGAGACGTTTGGGAACAATCATTACATTGTTTTGACTTGTCAAGTGCAAATGCACTTAAAGGAATAAGAACAAGAAAATCAAATTCTTACCCTGCCCCAGATAGTAGCTTGAAAGTAGATCACAAAATAAATAGCTTTGATAAGTTTCCTGAAAGATTCATCCTCACTGGAGAAGCGATGACCGAAAACAACAGCACAAATTATATTTGCAATGGCATGGACGATGGAAGTGTGGGGGTCGAAAGGTTTGCCTGTGAATACAGGAAGTACTGTGAGTACTTCTGAATAGAATACAGCAAAAGAAATGAGGAAGACTTTTTTTTAATGGTAAAAATAATAGGGGATCAAACTACTTTTAGATAAATTTCACACAAGTGAACCCTGGTTTAATACATATTAACTGCATGAATTGTAAATGCAGGGAATCTTAATTTTCAATCTGCTCTTTATTCTTGTAAAATACAGTGATTATTAGTTTTGAGAAGACAAACATTAATTCTCCTTTCCCTTCTTTGACTTGGGGTCTGAATTGTGTGGAAACACAAGCAATTAATTAGAACATATGCCTTCAAATCTGGAGGCAGATATTTAAGTTTGGTAATTAAAAAACAAAACAAACATTCCCCCTCCTCCAAAAAACAGAAAAAAAAATACTTTATAGTTTTATTTTCTTAGTCATGTTGAAATGACTTATCTCCTTTTGGTTTTCAAGTAACAGCTTGACAATTCAACCATATATATATATATTTTCCCACAAACTGAAAAGGCAAAGCTCATGTGATGGGATGGAAAATGGCTCCCATTAAAAAGTAATAAATCCAGAAATCGTAAACTTAAGTACATATTTCATTGGCAGATACAACCTTTGAATTATACTCCTATGGAAATACATCCCTGACTTCAGGCTTTTGGTCATTCTTGGAAAGACTAAATACATTTATTGAGTTTAAAATTGGGGAAGGGATTGCATGGAAGGTAAGGATTTGGGCTGTACGGGGACTTGGAGTAGATGGTTTTTAATCTCCTACATTTGAAAGATGTGTGAATATGTTGCTCTTGGAAGAGAGAGGGGCCTGGTCCGAGGAGAGTTGGGGAGAGACCTCAGGCAACCTCTCTGTGTTTTCACATCAGTATAGAACACAATGTGGGTGAGGGATTTGGCTGCTCAGAATATTTATATTTGATTGCTTTATTTTGGCATCTTGCTAGAATTCTATTGGTTTCTATTTCATCCAAACCTAAAAAAAAAATTTTATTGGGCAACTGAATGATACATTCCTTGTGTTGGGGTTCTTTCTCTGCCAAATCCTAAAAGTCTGCTGTCCTAAAATGACTCGCAGCAGGTCACACATTGTGTATTTTATGGAGGAAAACATAGGATTTTTCTACACTCCTTGAATGTAAGAATTGCTACCAGCTGTCCCCAAGACTGTGTTGATAACAAATATTTAACTAACCTTATTTTAAAAAACAATTTTATATTGCCCACTGTGCAGACAAAACATCTTTTGCAAAGAATGCAGTCAAGCCAGTAAAAGTCCTACTAGTATGAAAAATATCTATATTATTTATAAAAATGTATCATGAAACTTTTACCACCCCTAATATTTCAGAAAAAAGTTCTAAGTGTTCTTGTTCTAATGAATTTACCTTTTGTGTTTGCAAAGATGTCCACAAGGCGACAGGCCTCTGTTTGAATTTGATGCTCCAAATTGTTCTTTCCGAGTGCCAGGCTTCTTACAATTGTCATGACAAAGCGTCTCTGTTGCTTCCAGGTGTGGCCACTTGTCAGGAAAATACCTGGAGAACACAGAAACATTCATTTCATTGCTGGGAAAGGAAATCCTTTCACTGCAGGAGGCAAAATCAGATTTAGGTGAGGTTATATTTCACCAGCAAGATACCACAATTTTAGATTCTGAGTTTTAGTCTGTAACTGAGGATTTTATGACTCCCAGCTGCTCATAAATGTGACCCTGCAAACTGAGTGGTAGTGAGTTTTGGGAAGGACAGAACAGCTTTCTCTCTATGAACAGTTTTCTGTTTTAGAAGTTATACAATTGAAGGGCAACTTCTCCAGGCAAATATTCCTTTGGATCTGTTGGGAAGGAAAAAGGTCAGTGGCATGCTTTATAAGAGAGGAAATTTTGGGGTTTTTTTTCCCTTCCTTAACATACTTAGCTCTGCATGGAACCTTTTTGCAATGAAAGCCCAGTTGTGCCCTTGTTAAAAAACAAAACAAACATTCCCTCTCCTCCAAAAAACAGAAAAAAATACTTTATAGTTTTATTTTCTTAGTCATGTTGAAATGACTTATTTCCTTTTGGTTTTCAAGTAACAGCTTGAAAATTCAACCATATGTATATATTTATATATATATAAATACATAAACTGATGTGTGAGTGTATGCACAGAAAAGCATCTTTCTTCTTTACACCTTGTTCCTATTTCAGTCTGGTGTAACACCCTGTACCTTTCTCGCCCATCATATCCCTGTAGAATGGGGTGAGAGGTCTTCCAGAAACTTCCTCTGAGTGGGTGACAAGGCCATCTTTTACTGCTTTGTATCCATTCAGTACAACCATAGGTGTCTGTCCCATCCACAGCGTGTAGATGTTTCCGTAGATGTTGGTTAACTGAAGAGTTAATAACAGGAAATTAGGAACTATAAACCAGGGAAAGCATACACTCAAGTACTGATTTATTCAAGAGTTTTCTGTAGTTGTTACTAAACCCATTTGCCTATATTGAATTGGAAATATTTATCCTTCTGTTACTAATGTGCTTTGGGAACAGAAGATAATTGTTCTTTGTGCAATAGATATTAAGGATATCCCTCAGAAGAACACCTCTGAAAACTTCACAGAAAGAGAAACTGCAGGTTTGCTCTGTTAGCTCTGAGTCAAAGAACAAATGAAAACAGGCAAAATCCCAGAGCTTTTCTGTTTATTTCATTAATGAACCAATTATATATTATTATTATATATTATATATTATATGTTATATGTTATATATTATAAATATTATATATATTATATATATTATATATATTATATGTATAATTATATAGTATATGTATAATTATATATTATTATATATTTCCTGCCTCTAATTTCCAAAGAAAACAAAAAAAAACTTTTTTTGCATTCTTTTCTGAGCTTCCACATGATTTTTCTTATTTTTCTTTATTCTCTTTTGTCAGACCATGATTGTATTTTTCCTTGAAACAGTTTGAAGCAGGTTCCTTACTTTTTAAAAAAAGTTTTAAATGGTTTATGAAGCAGCCATGCTGTAAACATAACAGCAATCAGATTTTCCTGCTTTGTTTTAGTAATCTGTTTAGTACAGACAAGTCTTTTTGCTCTACAAATAAGAGAAAAAAGAGTCCATTTAGAATATATGTTTAGTCTTCTAGAGGAGATGGGACCACTTGTGGCCTGGAGATGTTCCAGTGACATTGGTATCATGCAAAGGAAGGTCTGCTAGAGGTGACTTACAGGGCTGGATATCAGCATAGAAACAGAATGAAGCTGTCAATGAAATAGCATTCTATGACAGTGCTTGTGATAATGCAACCAAAAGAGTGAGAAAATAACAAGGAGTAAAGTTATTGTAGTGTTTATTATTCAGAAATATTTTTAATAATGCAGGGTCCTTGAGTCTTTGAAATTGGCTAATAATCAAGCTTGAGGTTTAAAAAAAATAACAATTTAGAATGTTCCTATGCAATGCACAATGTAAGTTAAAATAGATTCAGGCTGATTTTCAACCGTAGAGATAAATAAATACCTTAGTGAGAGTTTCTCGACGAAGTTTGAAGTCCAGCAGCCACAAATTTCCAATGATGGGGAGAGGAACTGGTCCTGGAGGAAGCTGGGTACACATCCATTGCAGCTTTAGGAACTGCAAAATCAGGAGACATACTACTAGAGCCATACAGATCTCAGAAATCCCCAACATCTTGTCAAAATTGTAACTTCTCCCTGGGTTTTGCCTTTTTTTTTGGTCTTTTTTTTAGAGTGTGACTTCCTCTGAAAATTTGGGTTTGTGTAGATGAGTTTATTCTACTGACTCCAAACTCTCTCTAAGAATATATGCCTGCTGTAGCCATCTCTCTCGGACAATCTACAGTTTTCCCAAGCTGAAGTCCTTAGAAAACCAAAATATGTGATCCTTGGTGGTTAGTCAAGCCCCACCCACTCTTTTTTTAAGATCCGTAATTGAGATCTGTCTCTTTTTTCACTTAGAATTTTGTTTCCTTCTTAGTCTTGATACTGAGTCTAAGTGCCAATTATTGAACAGTTATTCAAGGTTATAAAGTGTCTTGCATAATGGTAACACCTCAGGCTGTTTCCTGTAGTTAAATGTTAAAATGCATTACTTCTTGCTGTTCTGAAATACTATAATTATTATGTAGTTTCTTTATAGAAGAAGAAACATCTGCACAATACCTGTGTGTTAGAATATGGTCTCTGAGATGAAAAAGAACTAAATTCATGCAACATCAAGCTAAATTAATGTCTTTAATTACAAAAAAAGGCAATTTAGTAATTAGGTGAGTATTTACTTTCTTCTTTTATTGTATTCAAGGTTAAGTTATGTGGAACACTAGTGAGAGGTTATTTTTTTCTCCAGCAGATTGTTCACTGCTTTCTAAATTTTTTTTTTCATTATTTCTTTTTTTTATGCTAAGTTTTAAACTCTTCTGGTGCAAATTTTGGAAGTGAAACAATGCACAGGTTCTGCTTGATCTGTGGAAAAGAGCAAATGAACTTAAGAAAGGGGCAAAACTTTTAATTTTTACTGATTTGTGGACCTCATAAGCTTTCAAGAGGTTTGCACTAATGTGTAGCAAACATGAACTTAAGAGGCTTACTTTTCATACTTGCTGATATATTAGATTTGACTTTTGACACTTGGTTCAAGAACTCAGCTAATGCTATGATATATCTTCAAGTCTGTATAGGGGATTAAGGGAATCCATACAATTGCAGAAGTTGTCTGTTTCCACATTTTATCATAATTTCTCTGAACAGGCTTGCTGAATTTTCCAGTCCGCAGTTTTCAGCTCAAAAAGTTTCAGCAAGATCAAGGTTATTGATTGCAAGGTTATTGAGTGTACATTATGATAATGAAATGTAAAGGTTTAACGCTATCCATGGGCTTCTTAAGAACTGCATTAAACTTCAAGAAACTGCATTATAGGTGTGGATACTAATTTCAGTTAGTTTTCTAATGAGTTCAATGTTTTTTGTGTTTGTGGGGTTAGTAAAAGAAAATGTGCTAAATGCAATCTTGCATCATTCAGTCTTGAAAAATATGTAAATGAGAATTTGTCTTTTTTTTTTTTTCTCTAGTGGATTGTAATAATTTCAACTGCATGTGGGAAACACAGGGGCAGTTTCAGGGGGCTGCAGAGCAGCGACATTGCAGCATTTTCTTGCCTTACTTTTCTGAGCAACCACCACTTGACTGCTCTGTGCTGTTTCATGCAGCTCTTCTGCTTTAGTGGGCTGCATTTGCAGATGCTTTTCCTGAAAGTGTGAAAGTGGAGCAGCAATCAGAGGGCAAGGACCATGCCTGTGTACCTTTTTTATCCATTTGTTTAGGTTTTGGGGCAGAGAAATGGAAACAGAAAAGTTTAATAAGCATAATTTTCAGCAGCATGGCTCTGTGAATCTTATACTTGCAGAGTTAAAAAGACAAAAAACTGAGAGAAGCAATTTGAAATTCACTACATTTTATGGTTTTATCAGTCAATTCAGACATGTTGATATGCTTACCAAAAATCACAGTGTTACTGAGTTATGCTATTGAGCAATCATTTATTCATCCAGTTTTTCAGATTTTGATGCTATTTGAGACTTTAAACTGAGTTACCTGATGAAATTATCTAACTTGACTTGCCTCCTACGTGCATCAGAATTTCATTTCTTCATATGTTTTTTTTGTCCTCGTTTTGTCCAGCTGGTCCCATCTGCTTAAAAGAAAGCAAGCACTATTCTATTTCTTGCTTGTGCATAGAATCATTTGTTAAGTTTGTAAGCTTTGCAACCGCTGAAAGCTGTTGATGTACGCATGCCATCAATGAGGGTATGATTTATACACTTAAGACTACCAGAATTAAGATGACTTAAGCCTTGAGGTTGCCTATTAATAAGGGTGATTATAATGCAACTTAAAAAAAAAAAAGAAAACAAAAAGAAAAAACTCCTGCTGAGTAAGGCTTGGCCCACCAAGAGGGTTAACCTGAGCCTTACCTTTTGGACACTGTGGGCAGGGTGTTTTCCTGCTGCTAGGTGAAACCTGTGGGCATGCTGAAAGTAGGATGAGGTGAAGTTATTTCACAAAAGCTTGTGATGAAGCTTGCAAGGAAGGGAAAAGCAAGGAAGCTCTTTTGTTATTGTGTACTTTAATACCTTCAGTATGCGTGAGCAGCAGCTCTTCGCATAAATCTTGCTCAAACTCCTCTGACACAAATACTATTGCAAGAGCTCACCAGTTAAGATGACAGATATTAAGTTTGGTTGTTTTGGACAGATGAGGAAACCTGCTTTTGTAATGAAGGTTTCAGGCCATAGGAGTGGGAAGCAAATGCAGCAGCTGAAGAGGACAGGGAAAGAACAGCATCTTCAGAAAGGTGTGAAGCAAATGATGAACGTGGTGTTCACAGGGTGGAAAGGGTTCCTGGCTCCCCTCCGCCCAGGGTGTGTGTCATGTGCTCTGCTGTAAAACCAGGGCTCATTTTTTATCTGTTGCAGAGACAGGCTCAGCATGTATTAGAAAACACTGCCTGGTTCCAAGCTGTGCATGTATTGCTTGGCATAGCAATGTGCTTGCTACCTGGCCTGGTGTCAAGCTAAACAGAGCAGACATTGCTAAGCAGGTTTGGGCTTTTTTTGTGGGTTTGTTATTTTGTTGTTGTTTTGGTTTATTTTCCAGTGGAGACACTAATTTGGATTTCTCAACTTAACTGTTCCTTCCTCCCCTGAACTCCCTGATCTTTCAAGAGCTTCATCTCAGGAGCTGTTACTTGGTCACTGGCATCAGAATTTCTCTGAGGAAAGAGTTACACAAACACTGTCCAGGCAAGCACTGAGAGAGGGAGAGCGTGGCTTAGAGCACAGAGCTGGAGTGAACATGGGACTGAGAAATCGGAGCAAAAGAAGTTCCCATTCTGTGTTTCTGTTCAGTTCAGGAAAAGAGAACTTTGCTTACGTGCATTATAAATAACTTTGATAGGTTTTTGCCTCCTGCTGTTGTCTGTGGTGTTGGGACCTGAAGACTGATGAGCTATTTGGGTTGCATAGACAAAGTATTGGAACGAAAATTGAGAACTTCAAATTCTGTTCCTAGATCTGTTCATAGCTTGTCTGTGACTCTCAGGAACTTGCTTTATCTCTCTGGGCCTAATCAACCCTGACATTCACTTTTCAAAAGAGTCTGAAGATTGAATAAAAGCCAAGTTGTAGATGGCAGGTATGACTGTTTCTGTTGAGTTCTTTCTCTGTATTTTCTTCCCACTCCTACAGTCTAAAACTTCCATTAGAAAAGGAGGTTTTCTGAGCTGACCAAACACCTGCCATCTCTGCCTATGAGGCCTTGGATAGTATTTGTCAGATAATAATGAGCAACTTGCATGGAGAGGTACTGCTCACATCTAATGAAGATATTGGAAGAAGGAAAACTGATTTTCCCCAAAACAACCTGCTTGCAAAAAGGTTCTCTGTAAACACCTGCCTCTACCTGCTTGCTCTCACCATTACTTTATTTGTATTTTGGTCCTTATTTCACCATTTGTGCACATTAACGGAGTTAATTTAAATACTATCACTCTGCATTACAATGAATTGTAAAAACCACCACTTTCTCTTCCTGCTAGTAATACCTAATCACCCCAGACATCCCAAAGTAAAACTGGTTGGTATATGTAATCTTAGAGAGATTTATCAACAAAGGATGGTAATTAATTTATTCATTTCCAAGTATATTTCTGAGGGTGTAGCAGGCTGAGACAGTGCATCACTGACATGGAGTGACAGCAGGACCACTAAAAGCAAGAGCCCTAGCTATTAGGAAGGAAAGTGACTGTTGTAAACATTCCTACTTTTGTTTTTCCATTGTTTTTGTTGTTGACCTCTGTTTCATTTGGGCTGTTGGTTTGGTTTGGTTTGGTTTGGTTTGGTAGTGCAGTGCTACTTAGACAAAAGCAATGCAGATCTTACACAGGTGCTGTGCTGCTGTACATCCTGATGGCGTGGGAGCTACAAAGGTCTGGTGCCCTTTCAGTCTCACTGGTTTGTGAAGTGCTGTATAATCTTGACAGTACTCTGCAGTAAGCTGCAGAGGAACTGAAGAGAGACAAGAATTTCGTAGGCTAAATCATAGTACAGGTTAGTTACCCTTCTCTCACTGGAGTGTCAGGAAGAAGTAATGGATATTGTGCAGACAGTCCTAATTATGGCATTTCCTAGTGTTTGAGTATTTGCAGCTTCAGCATTCTTTTTGACAGTTTTTCAGAGCGAGATCTAGTAGCCTGTTGGCTACTTCTTGCACTTGGAATGTCAGAAGTTGTGGATGTAACAGAAAATTCAAAGTAAGACTTGTTTGGATGACTTTCCCAGGGAGGGAGGTTTAGAGACAGCCTAGAACCAACTCCTCCTTCCTTGCAGAACAGTGTGGCTATTGCAAATATATACTGTCCTGACTGATTCCTGAGCACTGGAAGAAACTTCTGGAGTCCAACCCAGATTAATTCCCGTGTTAGGAAAGAATTTTTTTTCTCCAGAGAAATATTTTTACCCTTCTAAACATGGATAGAGATAAGGTACCTTGAATGCTACTGTTGAACTTGAATGAATGAATAAAATGTGAAAACATCTTTCAAAATGTGCCTTATGTCCTTTCTGCCAGCTAGTAAGTAACACCAATGGATTGTGCAAGTGGAGTTGCAAAGATGG